GGACCAAAAAAAAAAAAAGTGATATATCCAAATTTGTGATATAAACAAGTGGCTACTATTACAGTATATACAGAAATTTTTAAAATGTATTTAATCATAACAGAATAAAAAGAGAAAAAAAAACAACTTTTACTGCTATTTTGCTGAGTTTTCCTTCCATGTTTTTGCTTTGTTTGTCACTATTACACTCACTTTTTAATCACTGTTTCTGTATTTCAACTCACTTTTCTCACTTTTTTTGGAGGGAAAATGGCACTCTGAGCCTGGGTAGGCTGTGTAACAGTCACCATGCGTGCAAACTTACATCTGTTATGTGCCAGAGTTAAAGGAAGAGACTGGATTCTATAGGAAGGCTTCCACCTTCTTTGGATAGTAGACAAGAACACCATTGCAGTTGTTTGTGCTTGTCTCATGATCTGGTGATCATGAGACAAGCACAAACAACTTGATGATTAGTCTGAATCATCCAGTCTGGCCACCATTTGTGTGCCCTGACATGTCCACTGCCAACACTATCTTACAGTCACATCAGAATGACCATGTGTTGGGCAATTTGATGAACTGGCCATTCTTCATCCCTCAGCTCTGATGATGTGGCATTTGTCATACTCCATCAGCTGTATGTAATGTCTTTGGCTGTGTTGTATAGGTATGCCTGACAATCTAAGACTTCCAAACAACAGATAGACTGAGAATTCTGATGTTATCTGGGGTCACTGTCAACTGGGCTACTGCTAACTGGGTGCCAGACATCCAGGAAACAAAAAAAGAGATCAATAATAGACAAAAACAAATTTTTTACTGTTTTATTTATTAAAATAACCATTCTTTCCTATTGATCTACTTTTTGGTAAATTTAAATTTCATTTTTTAAGAAACAAATTAAATGAGTTAAAAGAATGTTTTTTGTAATTAACATATTTATGCATGTTACATACTTTATTTATTGATTTTTTTTTAAGTAAATAGAAAAGTCTCAAAAGACAATTGCTATCTACTGCCAAAATTAACAGAAAACAAGACAAAGTACATAGAAAGAAAGAAAACAATTATATAAAATTAAAAATACATTACATTAAATACAATATACGTTAAAACAAAAAAGTATAAAAGTTCTTTGAAAGAATTTGTTTTCGAAGAACTGCTTGTCTTCGATGTGCTATGTTATCCACTTCTGACATGCAACAATTAAAGATGCTACAGTATGTTGTTCCAAAGTGTTTCCTTTTCCTAAGTTGAAAATAACTCATAACTCATACTTCATAAGTCTTAACCATATTTTTCTAATCTTTACATAAATTAAATAAATAAATATTTGCTAAATTGTATATTTGCTAAGCATGCAAAGATTTTTAAGTTTCTTTTGTCCAGTTGTGTATCGTATTACCTGGTGTGCAATTGGATCACAACTGTAATCATTTACATATCAGTCTGAGACATAGCTATAGGCTAAGTTTTGCAGTAATCATACAATTCTGTCTGGTTGAATAACTTTTTTATAATGAGTATACAGTCAATTTGTGTTAATATAAATTGTTAGGGTAACAGTAGTTAAATAAAATTAAATTTATTAGCAAAAACAAACATTCTAAATGATTTCTCAAATCAAAGAAAATGAGGAGGAGACGATATTTGCCATTTAAGTGTAGAGTAATATATTAGAGTGGTTAAACAAAACATATTTCAAAGGTTAGTTTTAATATGATAATTATGACAAGAAGCAACATCTAGTGTTAAAAAATGTTAAAATATAATTTTATTGTTATATGATAAAAATTTAACAAAAAATTGTTTCTTGTATAAATTGTTTTGAAACATTTTATAAAATTATTTTTATTTTAATTAAATAGCCGAAAAATTCCTTGAATCTGTGGAAATAAATCAAAATTATCCAGTATTATTATTGCATTTAGTTGATAAGAGTGACTGTGATATGACAATTAGAATTGCTGGTTCAATTGTCTTCAAGAATTATGTAAAGAGAAATTGGAGAATAGTAAGTTTACTATCAATTTTTTTTTATTATGATTTTAAATGTAATTAATACATTAACTGTATATTTTTTTTAGATTGAAGATTGCTCTAATAAAATTCATGAAAGTGATAGAAATGCTATTAAAAATCTTATTGTGGGGTTAATGCTACGTAGTCCAGAACAAATTCAACGACAGGTTAGAAAATTCTTTAACTTATATAAAAGTAACTAAACTATTTTTAAGCAACTCTTTTGAAAAATAGTAAAGTTGAAAATATTATTTCATTTAAAAGTTCATATAATGTTAATTTCCATTATGGATTATTTTTTATTGAAAAACACTTAATGTAAAAACAGATTGTTGATGTAAATATATGTAAACTTTTATATATACAACTCCAACAAAAAGTTCAGACATCATGTTATTTTAATCAATTTCTAGCTTATCCTTCAATAATATTAAACAGAAAATTTTTGTACATTTATAATTATTTTATATTACTAAACTTTTATTATAATGAAGATTTTACATTAAAAATTTTCATGTTGATAATACATAAAAAAAGTTCTACAACATTGGAATTCAGTTAACACACATTCGAAATTCGTTTTTGTTCTTATGACATCATTGTTTTTACAAAAACGAATTTCGAATGTGTGTTAACTGACGTTCCAATGTTGTAGAACCTGAGGAAGGCTATTAAAAATAGCCGAAAGTGTTTGTTCTCTTATTTAATTAATTAAAGAAGTTGCTAGAAAAAAGAGTGGAAGGTGTTTTTAAACTTATTTACAGAAGTTCTAGTTTTCTGTGCATAGAATAGTAGTTTACCACCATTACAAACATTAGTTCTAGGAAGAAGTGAATTAAAACTACTTGAAGTAATCATATTTTTGATATCCACAACATTGTTTTCAAGCCAGCTTTTGGTAGTGATGAAAAAATTATAATAATAGTTTAGTAATATAAGTAGAAATCTACATTTATTTTTGATTTGACATTTTATGGATACATATAAAATTTAAAATGAGAACATTCATCCATAATAATAATAATAAAATATTATACATTGCAATTCATAGCTCTCTCAAAGCATATTATTATTTGTGCACAAACCCTAATAGGAAAAGATAAAAAAATATATTAAATGTTTTATTGAACTTTAGTTATAAATAAAGTAAATTAATATTTTCAGAATCATATCTACAATTTACTATTGTAATCTTTAATTACAAGAAAAATGTTAAGAATTAGAATTACAAGAATATAATTTTTAACACAATAATTTATTTGTTGTTGGCATGTTTTTTTTTATTGAAAATTATTATTGGAATTTTTTATAAGAAATATCTGAATTGAATTGTTAAATGGATTTATTTATTTATAATAATAATCATGTATTTGATATATTTTTAATTTAAGTGAATTTGACAATAATAATAATTTTTGTATTGAAAATTAATGTAGTTGAGTGATGCAGTCAGTATAATTGGCAGAGAGGATTTTCCTCAGAAGTGGCCTAACTTACTTCCAGAAATGATTAATCATTTTCAAACAGGTGATTTTCACATCATAAATGGAGTGCTTCAAACAGCTCATTCACTTTTTAAAAGGTAATTATTTCTTTATAATGTAAAAATCAGTAAGAAAAAACTTTATTATAGCCAAACAAAATTAATGTATGTATGTATGCATATATATACATTGTAATTTTTTTAAACTGTGGGCATGAAGAGGGTCTTTTGGCAATCTCATTATGGTTCTGCCAGATTCACAATGAGGCAGTCGCATAGTGAGGGACAGGATCCAACATACTTCGATGAACTTTCCTTGAAAAATTCTTGGGATTCTTTGGCATGTGGATTTAATCCAGGGTCTCAGAGCAGTAGGTTGTCATTCTAACCACTCTAACAACTCTGCCATCCAGTTGTCTGTACTTGTGTGTTTGTGATTTGTTAAAGAAAATAATAGAAACTATAATGACAATTATCAAATATTAAAATAAATTTTTAAATTGAAACACTTATTTTTTATTTATAAATGTTTTCTTTGCTATTAGAAGAAATATTTTTTAATTCAAGTGTTTGAATATCTGTGTTGTATGGGTGACAAAATTTGTACAGATGTGACATTTTAATTATCATCATAATATGCAGATGTTCCAATCTAAAACTTTGAAAATCTTTTCATCTGACAATGAAAAAGAGCAACACTGAAAATATTTAGATAAAAAATTACTTTTGACTTAATAAGGTACAGTTTTTTTAATTAAATAAGAAGTTGGCTATCAATAAATGATAGTTACCAATAACAATCATTATTATTTCATAATAATAATAATTTTTATTGGTAATTATGTTATTGAATAAAGCTTCTTTCTAAAAACATTAATTGGTAACTTCCACTAAGGTCTCAATGGTAAGTGGTTAACAAAGAAATTGAGATTAAAATATATCAAAGACAAGTCTGTCCAATAAGGAGCACCATTTATTTTGCATTTAAGACATTCACAGTAATGGCGACAGGCCTTCCTTTTTAGGCTACATGCCGCCAAAAGGTAAAAAAAAGTCCTTTAAAAAACACAAACATCCAATTAAAAGTAAAGGAATCGGTGACACAGACGTCTTACTTCTTATCCATCTGGCCAATGGGTGGTTCTGCTTTATATCTACTAAAAAAGCGCTGGAATATGTAGATTTTGAAGCTGACCCCTGGCGACGGTACATTTGAAATTTCTTTTTGTTGAATTTTTCCTTCTTACTTCTTATCCATTGGCCAGATGGATAAGAAGTAAGACGTCTGTGTCACCGATTCCTTTACTTTTAATTGGATGTTTGTGTTTTTTAAAGGACTTTTTTTACCTTTTGGCGGCATGAAGCCTAAAAAGGAAGGCCTGTCGCCATTANTCATATTTAGATATTTTTCATTTAGGTATACATTTGTAATAACATACATTTATTTGGAATATTTTCTTTTTCTATTAGTTATTTGATTACAGACTATTTCCCTTATATTTAATTACCGGTATTAATTTTTAATTATTGTTTAGTTCCAAAAAATAACTGCCAAGTTTGATCATGTGTTAAAAACTGTATAATTGAATCATTAACAATAGTGAAATAAATCATATGCATTTGATTAGACCCACAGGTTTTATTTACTCCATAGGCTCAAATACAGATTCCAGTTGCATTTAAAAAATAAAACCCATGTGGTTTATTCACATCATATTTCCTAAGCTACGGATTACTGTAAACATCCTATTGAAATTGTTTAAATTGTTCTGTTACATTTTTTATCTGTTGCTTTTCAGAATTAGTTTTTGGTTTTCATTCAACAACCCCTGCAGCCACTCATACCAACACATGCAAAAACTAATTTTGTAAAAATAAACCCACAGGCTTGAATATATTTACACTTCAAACAGATTTTAAAAAATAGACTGACAATGGGTCTATTTGAATGCTTGTGGTATAATTTTATACAAACATGTAAGAGGAAATTTGATTTTCCTACTTTAAAAAATGAAATATGAACATATTTTACAATAACAGAATTCTTTTTTATAAAACTGTCTTTTATGTTAAGACACAATATTTTCTAAGAAAAATAAAAACATACCATAAGTCAAATACTTTTAGAATTCAAAGAATTCGTTTTTTATACTTTCTTTTTTGATGTCTTTCAGAATGTGAATGATAAATAATAATCAGATTCAGCTTTCACAAGTTTTAATGTAGTTTACTGGGAGTTACAAATTTAATGATTTAACCAATTTTTTCAGTCTTAGGCAAACTGGAACAAAAAAATGTTCATTGCTTCAAAATGTGAATGTTTTTTTTTACCAGGTTTTAAGTAAGACATACTATATTTATTGAAATGAACTTTTGAGCTCATTTAATAAAAATAAAAAGTTTGTTAAGCACATGCATTATAAGATGTTTAATATTTTCTTAATGAAAATGTACACTTTCATATGCTATCTTGGGTGGTTTACTTGCTTGAATTATACAAGAACATACACACACAAAATACAGTGTAAATATAGATGGAAATAAAACAATTTATTTTCATCTATTTTTTGCCAAAACTGAACAACAAATTTCTTTTCTACCTGCTGAAAAACAGTAATTTATAGGACTATTCTTTCTCAACAGGATTCATTCTAGTTGCTAGATTCTCTTTTGATTCAAAAAATGGTAGATAGCCTTCACTGGTCTGTACAGGATCCAAAATATGTTTAAATCCTACAATAAATTTAGATTTAATATGAATATTTGAGATTATTTATGAAAATTTACTAATTTTTAATATATTTCACTTCATTGTTCAACATTAGGTTTATCTGGATAGTATTGTAATTTAAGCATTGGCATATCATTAAATCTAAATTGTGTATTATGTATTTGTAACAATTTACAAACCTATTAATTCAATTATGATATTATTTAACTAACTATTTCAAAAATCCATCATCATATAAACAAAAATTATTTAATTGTATTCCTGATGCTTTTGTGTTGGCTTTTCAATTGAGTACTTGAGTTTCTGTCTTCAATAGATTCTAATTAGTACAAATTAATAATAGAAGTATAATACACTGCTTTCTGTTAATTTCTCATACTCTATTTACACATTAATTTCTCTACTTAAAAGTCTGATAAGTAGAATATTTATTAATTTCCAAAATGTAAAGGAGGATGAAGAAGCTGGCTTGCTTGAACAGTTGAAATCTCAAATTTGTGATAACATTGCCCTTTATGCACAGAAATATAATGAGGAATTTCAAAAGTATTTACCAGAATTTGTGACTGCTGTATGGCATTTACTTACAAACACTGGAAAACAAGTGAAATATGATTTGGTAAGAATTATTTTTTGTAATTTTAATTATTGCTTAACAGTGTAATGTTAAACTAATAAAGATTTGTAATTTAAGGTGAATGTAAGGAAAATAGTATGTAATGCAAAAATGATATTTTCATAGTAGATTCAATTTTAAAGTAACTAGGGCACTGGATTTGAGATTTTATAAAAGAAGAAACTAAATTTTGTAAAAATTATGAAGCTAAAAGATTAAGATACTTTTTATGTTCGTTACTTTTGTATGCATTCTTAAAACAAGACAGTAGAATAACACTTTTAAGCCGCTTTAAAGCATTAAACCTTATTGATAGATCAGTGTATTTAAACTGATCTATCACTATTACTGTATCTTTATAATTTTTCAGGGCTGGTATCAAGCTTTAATTCTGACATTTAAGTTATAATTTACATTTAAGGAAATGCATTGTTGTATTAGAGCATAATAAATTATTAGAAACTGTTTATCACTGTTTTTTATAGTATAAATCAGTTATGTAATAATAGCTGTTTAAAAATTTTAGTTTTTGCTTGCTTATAATAATGTCTTATGTTTTAACTGGATGAAAACTATATTTAAAGTTTTCATCTAGTTAAACTTTATTNAGTAGGCATACACTCTTTTTTTATTTTTATTTTATTTGAATTTAGGAATCTTATTAATCAAAAAGTATAATAATTAGCTGGTGTTGTGTGTTCAGTAAATTAAGTTTATTTTGTACGTGGAAATGAAGTTTAGGTTAGAGATGAATAGTCTAAATGCTCATTTTTCTATCCAGTATTTAGAGATTGTGCATTCAAATTCTTGCTTAAATTGTTAAATTCTTACAAAATTTTCTAAATTATTTAATCAAATTCAAAATTAATTTCTAATCATTAATATTTACACAAGTTAGTTTCATCATTGTCGACTTTCAGACCAAATTTTGAGATTGATTAAAAATTAAGTATATTTTATTGTGAAAATGATTTTTTTTTTAGTTGTTTTGATAAATATATAAGTGAGTTCATGGTTGCTATATATTTGATTAGTACATTGTAATAAGTTCAAAATTGATCATAATTAATTTGATTATTTATTACTGTTTAATGATAAACATTTGAGTCAATTGAATAAATAAAATTCATGAACTTTAAAAAATTTACAAAAACATTTATAATTTTAAATAATAAAAGTAATAAATAATTTACAATTAAATACTATCGATAAATATTTTAATAGTATATATTTATTAAAATTTATAAATTGTTTAGGCTACAATGGGATTAGCAGAATCACACAAAAATAATCCAACAGCTCTGAAAGTCATATTTAGTTCATTAACATTAATTGCCAAGTTGTTCTACAGTTTGAATTATCAGGTAAATATATTTGTTAAAGTATTATTACAGTGAATTTTCTATATATAAATTTTCTGCTTATTGAAACAGGATTTACCAGAATATTTTGAAGATAATATGAACATATGGATGAAACATTTTTTGACATTGCTTACTACAGATCAAAAATTACTACAAACAAATGTAAGTTTTGATTAAATACTTTAGATTTTAGAAATCTTTTTTGTATTTTCTTATATTTAATATCTATTATTGACAGATTTTTTTATTAAGAAATTTTAGATCTTAAGAACTTTGGACTTTGTCAGATTTTATTGGCATGTTATACATAGTCTTATAAAGTTTAGATTTAATGTGATGACTATAAAGATGATTTTTTTAATAGAGTATAAATTTAGAGAATATTTCATGTATTTGATA